GCAACAACAAAGCAAACTGCGACTGGGACGAGTCCTTTTCGGCGTCTTGGTCTATGATTGATTAGCAATTAATTAGCTACACAAATAACTGTAATTATATGCCAGCGAGAACAATGTCAGGCCCTTGCGTCAAGCGCTCTTGAGCTCAACCCCCGATACCAAACAAAAAACAAGAGCCCCAACGTCCCGCCACGCCCAGCCAAAAGGCCCAAAACTCGAAATGACACTTTCTAATATCCTTTATTAGAAATGCGAAGAGCATTTTACGAACATATTTTATATACATTTGACTTTAGGGTATATCGAACTACTATGAAATAAATTTTGTATATGAATGTGAGTATATTTTATTAATGTTATGAACGTGTATTGCAGTCGAATCTAAAATTTTATTATCTAAAATGAGATTATAAGTTACTAAAGACACAGCAATGAACAGTAAGTTGTCGTATCTTTATTGAGCTACAATAATCTCAATGATACCTGAAAGTAGAGACACTTTTGTTAATTATGATAATACTTTTCCCATCTTAAAATTTAATTTTGCATACACTATACACTACATCTGCTCTCATCAACTCAAAGACATATCTAATTTTTCTTTTTCCAGGGTATTTTGGGTTCTAGCAACTACCTTATTTCGCCCATGTTTCCACTTTTTATGCATTGCCATTGAAAATTATGTACTTGCAAAAAAGTTGTTGTTTCTTTTCTCTTCTTCTTCTTTTTGTCTTGGGTTCTGCTCCACCTTTTTGCTTCGCTGTAGTTGTGCAGCGGCAGCGGCGTCTCATCGTTAGCTAATTTGCATTGGGTTGTTGTCATTTTATGTGCTTATGAAACGAATTTGGTGTGGCTTTGGCTGGCGCGAGTGCCATTGGTTTTTATGATGCAAATGCCAGCCAATATATATCCTAATGACACTTTATTGTCAGTCCAAGTATTCGTCACAGTCAAATGTAAAGCTATAGACCTATGTACAAGTGCGCACCCATCGCAGTCACCCCTAATTGCAGGGTAGCCCCAGCCAGGGGCGGGCTGAGTCGGTTTGCGAATCTATCTAAATTTGAGTTCGAATATGGGCCGTCGAGTGCAGTGCTTTAAGCCATGTTTTGTTGGCCAAGACGTTGCCATGTGACTGTGACTGTGACACTTCGACAGCTTTTGGCCGGCCAACAATGCATGACTGACCCTGTCAATGGTCTCGGCTCCGGTCTACCCTAATCCATTTAGTGCATATGCAATATTTAATGCATGCCACATGGATCGCAAAAGTGCGTCCTATTCCAAACTATTGTCAGCCCTGTCAGCTGCAGACCGGGCAGCCGGCTAGCTTCCTCTGTGCCTGTGGCGGCATTGTTTCGAGCCCCGAGCTCTGAATTACTCAGCCAAAACCCAGCGACCCAGCGTCGATATCCTCTTTAACCAGTCGAGGAGTTGCATGTGCATTTCGCTGACATTGAGTGCTACGACAGGAGACGTGTGCGAGGACGACGACGACGACGACGACAATGTCGTCCTCGGAATTGGTGGCTCTTTATGGCTGAAAGCTTTTGTCGCTGCTGCTGCTGGTGCTGCTGCTGCTGCCGTGGCACTAAACATGTCTCTTTCGACCCGTTGGCGCGACTCCAAAATATAACTTAAGTTTCTGGTCAAATGAATTTGGCAAAGGTAGTCGCAGGCCCAAAGCCAAGCGCACAAAATTCACAATTTCCAAAAATCGAGCATACTTCGGGGAGCCGCTGGCTGCTGCTGCTGCCGCTGCTGCTTCTTCCTCTTGAATTTATGCAAAAAAATAAAAAGAAGTATAGAAATGGCAACGGAAGTGTGTGTGGTGCTGAGGACAAGGACGCAACCACATTTTGGCACTTTAAGTGGCTTTTGTTATGGATAAACAGTGAGCAGTTTTCTTTGTTTTCCGCAGCCTTCGCTTTTCTGCTTTGTCACCTGTTTTTGCTGCGAGTGCGGGCTGCCAATTCGCATGCCGTGCAAAGTTTTTACGAGCTTGTCAACATTTTGTGTTGAGTGCATTTTTACGCACATGCTGCCACCAGCTCCTGGTGGGTAGGGCCCCGCCCTCGCGAGGCAATAAAATCGAAAAGTAATGCAATAAAATTCGCTTTCATTAAAAGCATTAAAATAGGTTTTTGACATGCCATAAAAATTGTTTTCACGTAAACACACAAAACACAACGCAAAACTGCTGCTGCTGCTTCACTATACAGAAGGGGCTGGGCTGACTGTGGGGCGGGACGCAGGGGGCAGGCGGCGGGGTCTGCTATTGGCTGTTAGCATTCGCGTCTAAATGGGAATTTTATTGTTCTGGGAGCTGCGGCCGACGCACGGCCATTAGCCGCAACACGGCATTGGCGCTCACCTAAGCGCCATAAATTTGTGAAGCTTATTTAAAAAATCGGCAGAACGACTCCAGTGGGGAGTGACCGACTAGCAGCTAAGTAGACACTGCGAATATTATGCACAATTTACAAAAATTGATTCCATGCAGTGGAGTTCGGTTATAACGACTCCGCTTGTGGAGTCTTCCGGGTGTAAAGACGGACCTTTGAGCATCGCTATAATCGAAATCTGCAGTAGATTAATTCTCTATATGGATATATATAGAATTGTTTATAGTAATCTTTGGCAAAAGCCTTGTCGCCGAAGGTAGCTCTGTTTCAACTCAAAAGATTTTTTGGTAGGATTAAAATATTTAAAGGAATATTTAACTAGAACAACTAAATAAATTCAATCTTTAATTTTAATTCATCTCTGCCTCTTAACTACCCCCAAAAATATTCCTTGGGAAAATCTGATTGCATGCTATGCAAAGTTTTTACGATCCTGCCAAGATTTTGACTTGAGTGCATTTCGAAGCTCTTGCTGTCAGCAGCCTAACCCCGTACCGCCTCTGGTCCCTGGCCTGTTGGCTGTAAAATCAAAAAGAAATGCAATCAATTTCGCTTTCATTCAGTGGGTGAGTGGGAGCAGAGAGTGTGAGTGCTGACTGCCTGCCTCTAAATGGGAATTTTATTGTTGTGGGAGCTGCAGGCGACGCATCGCCATTAGCCGCAACACGGCATTGCTACTCACCTAAGCGCCAGGGGGAAGGTGTTCATCTTTGGCGGATATTATCTATTTCGTCATAAAACCATGTGTGCCAGCTACAAATAACTAAGGGAATTAAAAGCGACTGCTGTGGGAGTAGCTAAAGAGAGAGGGAGACAGAGAGAGAGAGAGAGAGAGAGAGAGAGAGAGAGACAGAGATTGTGATGAAAGTAGGAGGAGTACAATATTCATGGAAAATATTGTGAATAATCGAAATGAGCTCGAAGCTCGGCTTTGAGATTGACTGAGATTCATGCTTAAAATATTTTAAAAAAATATTAAAATAATACAAAATAAAGTCTTTGAGGTAAAAACTGCGATAATTCTCTATAAATTAACATTGAGCTTATGTAATATAAATTACGTAAATTTCATTAGCTGTACTCAGATTTTATCGCACATTGAAGTCCAGCTTATCATACCTTATCATAAAGTAACGAAAAGTGCTGTTAGCTGATGAACGGGATTGTTAGCCGATTTAATAGTTGGTGCTGGCCAGGATAATTCTTGGCTTGGCTAACGCAATGCTGGCTAATAGCGAAATAAACGCCAAATGGCCGGCGAAATTGGCAATTGAGAGGGAAAACGATGGAAAATCGAGTGTGCATTAAATATATTTCAGCGTTATTAACTTGAAATTAGCAGGCAGCGAGATGCCGAAAAAGCCACAGAATGTCATGTAATGGGGGGGGGGGGGGAGGCAAAGGGGCAATCAATGAATGTCCAGGACAATGCGAAATTGCTGTTGCTCAGCTCTTAATTGCTGTGACAGCCTGTGGCCAGATCCATGCGCGTTCATTGCGTATTTTCGGGGGGGGGGCCACGTTTAACGTTGAGCTATTTTCATGATGTAATAAACGAAATAAATTTTCATAATTGCAGCGATTTTCAGTTGGGGCGTAGACAGTCGGGCAGTCGAACGCGTTCGAAATTCGAATCGTTCGCATTGACTCGTAAACAGCGTAAAAATATGGCCAACATTTTTATTTAGGCCACTTATTTTATTTCGCCAAGCAGCCAGATTGCTGCGACTATATGAACATATTTAATGATGACCATGAAAACTGCTTAATCGGAAGAATGAATATGAACATGAATACGAATATGAGCATGAGCATGAGCATGAACATGTTTCCACAGACTGGGAACCTCAGCTAGATAATAAGCGCAAGGCATAAATACTCCGGGGAAATATGAAAAGCCAAACCAAAATATTTGCACAAATTCAAATGCTCAGTTGGCGGCTTCCTTTTGGTATCTATCGCATACCCTGTACTCTGTGAAAATGAGTTGGCAGTGGGGTATATTGGCTTGAGGATGAGGCTCTGGAGTGATCTCTGGGCGAGCAGCGATTCACTTACTGTATATCTGTAGAGAGGTGTAGTAAAAGAGATGCATACAGTTTATTGTAAAAGTATATATACCTCTATATCCACATATATATTTATATATACAAGATATACATTTCTTATTGCTTGAATACCCTGTCTTTAGATGGGCTGTGGGCTCGGCTGAGCCCTTTTTTTCTCCCCTACTCTGTTTACAGGGTATCTTATAGTCGGCTCCTACCATTTGCAGCCCTGTCACTTGTGTTTTTTTGCACAAACAGCAGCATTTTTAATATAGCTGTCATTTTGGAGCCCCGCCCCCCGCCGCCTGCGCTGCCAGCCGAGGCAACCATTCGAGCAAGATTTTTATTGGTAATAGCAGAGACTATTTTTCGCATTTATAATATAGGGCCATATATTTTCATGAACACTAAATTATGAGGCGGCTCGCGGCTGACTAGGCGCCGCCAGGGGCTGCTTTATAGTGTACCGAAAAACTGATAAAACAATTGAAAACATTCCCCTTACACACACACGCACGCACGCATACACACACTTATATATCTCTGATTTTCCTGTTAGCTTGGCCAAGTTGTATAAAAATTTTTGTGTTTTAGTCATGAATGCTCTTTGCAAATTTTTAAGTTTGGATGTAAACGAGGAGATGTCGCACCTATTCAGAGCCTCATGCAAACCCGACGATGCGGATGCCTCCCGCAGCTGCACGGATTATTCGAAAGAGCCCGTCCAACGGCTCAGCTATACCATTCGGCACAAGTATCCCAAGCGCCTGGTCACCTACGATGCGGAGGAGCGCTGCGAGCCACGCAAAATACGCGTTTCGGATCTGAAGGAGAGTCCCGAACCGAAGGGCAAGAAATGTGAGGAACCGAAACCTAGATCGACTGAGACCGATGCCCCCAAGCTGGCAACCAAGGACTCCAACCTATTCGACCTGCAAAAGAGGCCGACGAAGCGTAATCTGAAGGTGATGGAGCGCCGTGCCAAGACGCTCTACCAGCTCAGTGCTCAGCGCCGGCAGCGGATGTGCGGGGAGGACTCAGCCGCTCCGCCCAGCTGGGAGAGTCTCAGCTCGGCTGAGCGGCTCAGCTTCTGCTGGAGGTCGCTGACCCACCACGAGCTGCGCCCCACGCCCTACGAGAACTTCAGGGCGTTGTTCATCGCACGCCACCGGGACAACTGTCCGGAGTTCAATGCGCGCAAGGTGGGCGCAATGGCGCGACCCACCTGGCTGAGCATGAAGAGTGATCAGCGCGTACCCTTCAATCTGCACGCCCTGCTCTACCACGTCAGCACCGGAGACCTGGATCCCTTCGATCACTGTGCGGTGCGCGTGCTCTTGAATCGCTGGCGCTGACCCTGAAGACTGCTGGGCCTGTGCTCTAGCGGGCGCATTAAGATGTCTGTCAGGCACATTTGATTTCGATTTTAATTTCCCAGTTTTTTATACAAAACAGATGCTGTACTACATACTTACATACATATGTATATCTACATATATATACGTGTATCATTCAGCCACATGCAATCTATTTTTATGCAGAGTTTTCGTCATCTTTCGCCCATCTGCCCCGCTGGCCCATTTCTATTGACTCTTTTCATCTGTTTTGGGCTTTTGCACTTGAGCCACAGCCGCTGAGAATTGGGGAAATGTTACAAATTGAGACGCCAAAATAATAATGGATCTCCAGCTCGCACATTTCGCACATGCTCCAAGGTCGCCTCTGACATGGCCTTGACCACTCGACGCTCCGCAGCTGAGTAATCCGTGGATCACTCGCAATCGTGAACGACATATGGCATTGGGGCTCGAGAGGCAGCTCAATTAACAATCGCTGCAGATCTCTGGTGGCCAGTTGTGATGGCCCGCGACCTTCGGCCATTCGATTTGGCCATGCGCATAAATTAGCCATAAAAGAGCCCAGAAGCAAACTACAGAAACAAGAACTATTTAAAATGTAATTTCGATTGCTTTACGAGCGCAATGCTTAACTTTGTCGTGTACAAAATATATAAAAATAAAAACAATAAATAAAATTGTAGCAAATCGGATCGGAATCAGAATCGAAACAACATTATGCTAATACAAATGATGGCCGGAGCGGATGGGCTGTGTCTGCGGCTGGTGTTGGGTTTTATTGAAAAGCCAAAGAGGTATGGCTGGAGGGTTGGGTATGGGCTGAGAGGGGAGGAGAGAGAGAAGGGAGTTTTCCACGTTTATGGCTAGCGAATTGTCGTTGACAACTTTTGGCGAGTCGCACATAAAACGAAATGAAATGGAAAACTTAAAAAACAACAACAGCAACTGGATAAAGGCAAGAAATCGAAATAGAAATAGAAATCGGCAATGACATCGATTCGCCACGTTTCCCCAGCTGTGCAACTGCTCTATCGTGTGTGTGTGTGTGTGTGCGGCTTGAAATTTATTGTTGTAGATATTGAGTTTTATAGTGTTGTGGGTCCAGCTTCCAACTTCGAACTTTCCACGCAGCCCTCGCCTAATGCGCCGCTCACGGATTTGCGCATTTTTAAGCGGCGAAATCGAAAAACAATTGGCATTCGCATGCCTGACACTCTCAGCGCGTCTCTGGCGATGTTTTGAAGCCTCTGTGTCAAATGCGCGGCACTAACCCCCTTCGGCTCCCCTCGTCCCGCTGCTCACTCAGTCACTCAAACCCCTTTCGGCTCGTCTCTTTTTTATGGCCGACTGTTGCAAAAGATTTTGTTGTTTTGATATTCGGCAATTTTATTGCCTCGACCCAAGCTCGCACCTCAATTTGTCTTCGTAAATGTGAAAAATGTGGAAATTAGTTTGGCGGCCCACAGGCGGCGGCTCGGGAGGCTGCTCGCTGCCCGCATTTCATCAATCACACGATCTGTCACACCTATCGGGGTAGGCGTGGAGGCGGTGCTTCGTATCAGTTGCAGCTACCAACAACTGTAACGAATCTCTCCTCCCACTCTCTCTCTCCCGCTCTCTCACTATGCCACTAAAAAAGCGAAAGGAGTGCTGGCTGCCACGCCCCTTGACTTGAGAGTCTGCTGTTAATGGCGTGCGGCTGAAATTTGTGGCATACTTGCAGGCGTTTAGCCAAAACTCAAACAGTCTGTCCGCCAGTTCTTCAGTCCTTCAGTCCGTCAGCCCGTATAGTATTGCCGAATCTTTATCCACGACGTCAAAGTTTTGTGTCACTTAGCCATTTTTATGCAAAGTCGATGCGCAAACACATAACGTAAAAATCAATGGCCGAGCAGATGACTAAAGCCTCGGCGGCCATCCCCCTAAATAACTAACAGCTCTATTCTGGACAAGGCCTCTTTATTAACATAACAATAATTATGGCTACGTTTTGGCTGCCCATTTGCCCAAATGCTGAGACGTTGAGCAAACAACAACAGCAACAGCAACAACAACAACTGCAAATGGGATTCTGCAGCCATAAGCAAAACGCGCTCAATCACAATTGACATCCTGCCAAGGGGCAGGCGAACGGCAATCGGATGAAGTACGGCGGATGGCGAGCGACGAACGGCGGACGGCGGGCAGCGGCCAACGGTCAGCAGTCGCCATCGACGCTATGCATCCGGTTGAATTGATTTTAGCCAATGAATTGAGCATATTTTTTTTGTATACCCTCGATTTACGTATGGTCAAAGGGCATATTCATTAGACACTTGAATATGAAACGCGAATGTCGAACTAGAATTTACGTAAGGTGAGGATACTTCTGTTAAAATTATCTTATTTTATTATTAATATAATAGTATCTTATATTGAATATATATATAACGAACTTTCGTGTCTTTTAGTTTAAGATAGATAATAATCCTAAGACTAATATGTAAGCTTAATGAGCAATTGTGAATGAACAAGTTGATTTGGATTAAAGTAAGGTAACTTTATTTCAATTTTTGTGGGTGAAGATATTTTCCATGCAAGCTTAGACTTGTTCCTTGAAATCCTTAATGAATGAATTCCTAAAGTTAATTTTATCATTCAAGCAAATTCATAAAATAATTCATAAAACTCATTCACTTTCCATAAATACAACACAGAGTAACTTCCAGTCGAGCAAAGCCGTTCGCTTTCCTATTTATTCTTATTTTTTTCGCTCTCATATTTATGGGGGAGTATCACATGTAAAAAGCCGAGTGTAATTGTAATTGTGACTGTGCGTCTGCCTCTTTCCCTGCCTCCGCCTCTGCCTCCGCCTCTGCCTGCGCCTGTGTGACAGTGAGCCGCTTCCACGTAATTAACTCCAATTGAGTCTTGGGGCACGCTGCCAGCGTCCTGTTTGGCTTGTTTGCAGAGGCAGCGGGACAAAGGCAGCCGGCGCTCATTAGCGGCAGCAGCGCCCCAAGAGGTGTTGGTGGGAGAGGGGGGGGGAGGGCGTGTAGCAGATGCCATATAAATCGCGCTTAAACAGGAGCAAATTGACAGGCGTGCAGATTTAAGACGGCAGTTTGGCTTGCAAGTAAATCCAATTTCCGAGCGCCACTTTTAAGTCTTGTGGCTTGCAGCTTGAGGCAGAGGCAGAGGCTGGGGCTCATTCAGAGGCAGAGGCTGAGGTTGCACGTACTCGCAACACTTTTCAGCGGCAGTCGCCCACGAGCAGCGAGCACTGAGCAGCGAGCAGGAAGTGGCAGCAGGATCAGGTCATGTCGCGGTCATAAATACAACAATGCCGCTGGCAGCAAACTTTGAGCTGAAAGTGTCGCCAGCGCCATAAATTTGCGAGCGCGCAAAACTCACGGATTTATGTTGCAAGAACATGCGGCGGCAGATAGTCGAGCTGTGCGGCGCGAATACGAATACGGATGCAGAGCAGGAGGGGGCGGCCCCGGCGTATCCTGGCCTGGCGTATCCAGGCTAGGCAAACGTAATCCACTTTCAAGTTTGTCGCGGCTTTCATTTGTGAAATGAACACGAAACGCGGCCTCGCGCTCGCCGCTCATGTGATGCGAGTGCCATATCCTTGCGGATATCCTTCAGCAACGGCTGTAGCTGCTTCTTCTTTTTTTCGGGTTTCTTTTTGGCAGCCATATGCAGCGCCTGGTCGTCCTGGTCGTCCTGCCTGACACGACTTCTTATCCAATTTGCATTTAACGCATTTTTGGCCAATTTCGCTGGCTTCGCCCAGGACAGCCGCCAAATCTATGGCACTCGCTGTCACTCCGCTCTCTGCTCCTCTTTTGGTCTGTTTGCAAATCCCATTTTGTAGCTATTTGCATTTAATACTGATGACTGTCCGTGAAATTGAGACGCGCTCGCCGAAATTAATAAAAGCGCCTGCCAAACCAGCTGCCAGTTGGCCAAGAGCACTGAGCACTGCCAGCAGGGAGCGGAGAGCGGAGAGTGGAGAGTTGAGTGCCGAGAGAACCGCAAGTAAAAATGTTCAATAAACGTCCGGTCAAGTGCTGTTAGACGACCGCAAACGCCTTCAATATGGCTGAAACTCTCGGACGGCGGCAGTCAATTCTGCATTTTTAGCCATTTTTAGCCAGCTCCTGCAGCAGCTGACTTTGACAGCTACCGCCCGCTGGCCGTTAGTTAGTTTGCGGTTCGCCCGCTGCCTCATGTGCCCGACTGTGCTACGTTCCGGGCACCAATTAAAAACGCGAATATGCCCCACTAGGCACCCTCCCACATCTGCCACAACTCTACCTCCCATCCCTCCCTCCTCTCGCCCCTGTTTCAACTATGCCAGCTATCTGGGCCCGGGAGCAGCTGCCCACGGTGTGGGGCGGGCGGGGCGTGGCGGCTAAGCGGATGGGCATGTCGCGCTGCCTTCTGACAGGTCTAGGTATTAATTAGGTTGTTAATTTTGCATTTGGCATGCGTCGTTCGCTATTCCCGTGAAGAACGCAGCGCCCGTAATGACACACGTGGCACGATGATAAATCTTGCGGCTTGTGCAACAGCAGCGAACACATGTCGCAGTTGCTCACTGTTCGCCAACTCCTCCACTCCACGGCACGGCACGGCACGACACGGCACTGCACGGCATGGCACGTCACTGCCTCTGCTCCTGCTCTGGGCACCTGTCTCAATTAAGCGTGCAAATCGCGCCGCTGTCAAATTTAAATGCCGCACTCTAGAAATAAGATCTTGGCGCACTCAAGATCTAAAGGCGATTCTCGCCCGCGATGCAGTTGATGATGATGTGGCTATAGCATCATCTGTCCATATATATATACATATATATAGATGGCTTCATCTATCTCCTCCTGCTCAATGCGGCTGCAGTTGTCAGTTTGCTTTGAACACGTCTCAGGTTGATATTTCCGAGGCAAGCGGCTGCATACCTAGGGCTAAAAATGTCTCCTTAAGTGCGATCGAGCTGGTGAAATTTTATAAATATTGCAGAATATATGGGATGACTAAGATATATTGGGAATTGATCTTAAGAACTTTAATATAATAGAGAGATATAATATAAATATGTGTGAACAATCTTG